CCTGATCAGAAGCATGCCTAGGCGCGTTGGAGAATGCGTAGCACATCAGGGTGCATCCACACATTATTAAAGGTCAAAGGGCTTTAAAGCAGTGCAATCATTTTGAAATTTTTATCATTTACTTATTATGCTTCATTAAGTACTTATACAAAATTTTATTAAAATAAAACCATTCAAACTGGGTGTTCGGATTTATATGTCACTTAGTATACATGGTTTTTCGAGTCATTAATTTTAACTGCTTGTAGTATTCGTCAAAAGTAGTTGATACACAAAAAATCGCCTATATAAAAGTTGCATAATAAAAGAAATAGTAAAAGAAGAATTTAAAAAAATGAGAATGTTATTACACAGATTCCTTGATGTTCTTGACCACTGCCGTGAAAAATCTTCTTTTGCTTCCTACTCATATCGTTTATCTAAATTTGGCAATTTTTTTGTGTTATTGTATGGTTTTCAGTACGAGTCTTTGGTTCAATCAGCTGTATCAGTCGTTTAATAGTGCGTATGCTTTCATTTGTCTGATTCATTATTTTGTGCGTGGTAAATGCTTATCGGACCCGGTGAGATTTATTTAGATTTTCTTCGACACAATCTGCCACAATTATTAGAAGATGTTCCTGTAAATTTGAGACGGAATATGGGTTTTCCACATGATGGAGCTGCACCACATTTTACACGAGAATTTCATGAACGCCTAAATAATGAGTTTCCGAATAGATGGATAGGGCGCAATGGACACATTTCTGGGTCTGCTCGCTCTCCGGACTTAACACCTTGCGATTTTTTTTGTACGGCTATTGGAAAGAGTTGGTGTAGCATGATGGAGCAGTAAATACTCTGGAACAACTTCAACAGTGCACTGAACATGCTTGTGATTCAATTCGTGGACTGTCGTCAACTACAAATATTGAAACATAAAATTGATATTAAGCCATTGTAAAAGTCTGAACACAAACAAAACGGCAACAGTTATTCTGAAATCTCTGTAAGCGCATTTGAGTTGAATAGTCCAGGCATGGATAAAAAATACCACACCGTAACTAATAATCGATAGCACTAAACTTTCAGCGAGCTTTCTCCTCGTCTTGAAGTTCATGATGCACTTATTGTCATTCAGAACTGGCAGTTTCAAATAACACCACTAAAACACACAACACAATTCTTAACGTAACTTGACATCTGTGATCAAACCAAGTATCTTATAGCTATATCCCTATACCCTATTTCACGAGTATCCATCACAGTAGAATGACAGCTGATTATCTAGTAATATTTCAAAATTCCCCATACTCGCACAGGACACATAATTCTGACGGATCCGTCAACGCCAGGTAGATAGAGCCGAATTTTGTTTTGGTTTTTTGTACCCTACAGATTCATTTTGTACTTTATTTAGAAAAGTTTTTTGCATACAAACTAGTGGAAAATCTCCATAGGAAAACCATTACAAAAAATAACTAATCAATCAAGTTTCAACGAACTTCATGTGATAAATATACTTCCTGCTTTGTCAAAGATATTTGAAAGAGTGCTGTACGAACAAATGTATGACTTTTGTATGAGTAACAATATTATTCCTGGTACTCAGTGTGGTTTTCGTAAAAATTTTGGTACATCAGTGGCTCTAACAAACGTACTCGATGACATATTAAGATAAAAAGATATGTTCAGTTTTGGTACTTCTAGACTTTTCAGAAGCTGTTGATACCATTAATCATGAATTGTTCATAGCTAAACTTCAATACTATGGCTTTAATAAGGAAGCATGTTTGCTTTTAAAATCATATTTGACAGGAAGGTATCAATCGATTCCATCAAATGACACATTCTCAGACAAAGCGGAGATCCTATCGGGAGTTCCTCAGGGATCAATATTGGGCCTCTTGTTATTTTTAATTTATACATCTGATATCCTTACGTCTTTAAAGTTTTGTAAAGTTCAGGCCTTCGGGGATGACACCCAGGTTTATTGTTTTTTTGATATTGAGGATTACAAATATTACGAAAATTGTATAAATGAGGACATTAACACCTTGAACAATCTCTCATTAGGTCACAACTTAAAACTTAATCCGGAAAAATCGCATGTAATGATTTTTGGTAACAAATCTAAGACTGAATTTTTGAAAGCTAATCTGAATATAATCGCTAATAATTCAAAATTGAATTTTGTTGAAAGTACAAAAAATCTCAGTATAGTTGTAGATTCTCAGCTTAGATTTAAAGATCACCTAAAAAATCTTATGCAAAAATCATTTTGTTCTCTAAAAGTTTTGTATAATAACAGACACATACTAAACAGATCACTAAAAAAAAATTGTGTGAATCTCTAATTCTTTCCAATTTCAATTATTGTGATTTTGTCTATGGATTTTGCTTAGATCAGACAAGTAGAGGTCGGATTCAGAAGGTGCAAAATGCGTGCCATAGGTTTATCTATGGTCTGCCTAGGTTTGATCATATATCTCATTTGTATAAAGAAATTAAATGGCTTAAAATGAATGAGCGTTGCACTCTCCATTTTTTCTAGTTTTTTATTAAAAATTATAAACACTCCAGGTTCACCTGATTCATTAAGAGAGCGCTTAATTTTCCGACATTCTGTTCATGATATAAATGTAAGATATTTAAAAAAATTAACTATGCAGATTCATAGTAGTGCATTGTTTGAACGATGATTCTCATACAATGCTGTTAAACAATTTAATTCAATTCCCAACCAGTTCCTTAATCTTTCTCTTTCAAGTTTCAAAATACAATATAAGAAATATTTGCTAAATACAAATCTGAACAAACTTTTTTAGAATAGAGATTGAAGTTTATAATGTAGGTATATAAGTAGAAAAAATATGTCAAGCAAAATTTAATGGAAACCAGTAACCAAATTTTATAGTGACCAGTTTTAATTAATATCTTTTTTAAATTTTAATTTGCTTTCAGTCCATTTAGTGTTAACACGTGATTATTATTATGATTATTCTGTATTGTTGTTTAAGACTTATTATTATTTTTTTGTCTTATTTTGATTCAGTAGAGTAGCTTTAAGCTAGATTTGCGCCAATATTAGGCAATGTATTCTGTATTTTTTTTTCTAAATTACCTTTGTAAAAAGATTATTTGTTTTATTCAATAAAGTCATTTATTATTATTATTAGTATTATTATTATTATTTTACTAGATTTATATTCGATCCATTATTGCTAACGTTGCAGACTATCACAAAAATGCTACTTGTTGATCAGCTGTTTATCTCACTTCACTACACGTCAAAGCGTGATGAATACTTGTGAAATAGTTGAGAAGTGAAGCAGGGACCTTTAACCTTTATGCTGGTCCCAGGCTCCAAATAATATCAAAAGATAGAAAATGTGACAAACTTGCTATTGGAAACGTAGAACGACTTCCAGCAGTAGATATATGTCACCGCCTTATAATTTCAGTTTATGTTATCAAATAGACACCTCACTCATTATAAAACTTCGAAAACTTTACGCGTTACTCTCGGTGTGCATATCAAAACTTCAATTACTGCTCCAACAATTATTCGAGTAGATGGCAATGTTTCTCGGCACAGATACGTTTCTACTTCAAAGTTTTATACCTGACGAATCTTGGATAAATCTCAACTACCTCATTTGTAAGAAAAGCAATAACTTGATCCCAGCAAGTACATTAAAGTTGTTCGTGTGTTATCCCTTTAGTTAGGGGTTGTGGCCTACCCCGCATACGAGTTCCAGCGGTAAACTGTTTCAAAGTACCTACACGCACAACAAAATTGTCTTCATTTAGTCAACTCATGTCTGGAGAAGCTTAGATAATAATCCCTCGAAGTTCCTAAAAAAACTTTTTGCACCCCAGTGCCATCAGAACGGTTTGAACGAAGGTTCAGCGCGCCATCTTGTGAAACTTGTAGCTTAAGGGTATGCATTCCAGTTGTGTTATATCTACTTCTATTCCTATTTGAAGCAACGATCAGCACTACATTTGTCTGAAGGCTTGAGTTCAATGTGTACGAGTGAGAAGTGTGTATAAACACACATGTTGGAAAGAGATAGAAGCCGGTTGCACAACGAGGCTCATCACCGCGTTGCCAATATTTTACACCAGATCCTTGAATTGATATGCATGTTGAAAATTGCGTTAGTTTATTCTTTACGTCCAAATAATGATTCTATTTTTGAATTGTGAATTGTGAAAAATCTGTTGAGGACCTATTTCGGATAGGTCGGAAAACTATACCATCTACAATATTTCAATGTATCTTTAGTTTCCAGATGTTCTCCATCTTCATTTGACTCAAACGGTCTTCAAAACGTAATCTCTCATACACCGCAAGCATCGCAATTGTTCCAAAAGAATAGAGGACATGTGGTGTAACAAAAGGAATCGGAACTACTCTATATTTTTTCATCTAAGGTATTTATTAAAAACGTCTAATTCAGGTCTTGCAAAATTTTAAAAAGTGATTCAATGTGTCCTTTGAGCTTACCTGGAGCCTCAACTTCAAGGATATCTCAAGGTTAACTGTTTTTTTTTTACACCATGTGAAGAAGAATTGTGATCGCGAGAATTTTCGAAAAAGAGATATTTCTTTTGGGTGTTATATAACATTACATTGCGAAAATCTATTTTACTCATTTCAGTCGGTCTGTATGTCTGTCAGTCAGATTTAAATCGTAATTTTAGGCAGACTCCAAACTTATTTCGCGATCTCCTGAATATAACAATACAGCAACATTGCATCTACTAAAAAAATACGACGTGGATCTCGAACTCGACAAATGAAAGAATTAGCAATGTCATTAAGTTTACTGGCCTAGTCAGTCTGTCATCCGGCACACGAACGCTTTCTGCACTTCACAGAGCTTTTCATCGGCCGGACAGCACAAATTAACTTCTATACACAAGTTTCCAGTCGAAGCTTTGTCCATTTCAGCAGTTCGTAATCTCTAATTTGAACAATTGAATTAGAGGAAAAATATGTTAATTTTCTGCAGAGAGAGAGAGAGAGAGAGAGAGAGAGAAACGTAGGAAGCTGTTTGCAATATACTAACTACCGTTACAAAGGTGCAAGAAACTTGGTGGATTTGGAAAACTTTAATCAGGCTAAAATTCTAGATGAAAGGAAGACTTTCGGGAAGACGACAATAAAGGTAGCATTTGGTTCAAAGTAGTTAAGTTTAGATTTTTACTGTATGACATTTCGTGGACTTCATAGAGACGAATGCATTTCAAAATTCGGGTACGTTGGAAATGGTAGAATTTCCGTCAATGTCACTGCGACAAAATAGTACTATACACTGCCATGCAAAATTAACCGGACAAAAAAAATTTGTTCAAATTAAATTTGAAATAGCTTTTTAACCTTTGCATAAATTTCGTTAATTTTTTAGTCAAGTTGTAGGCAATTTCATTTTCATCATCATCGATTGCCGATCTTGCAAAAACATTGAAAATGTTTGTTGTTATGCAGGGTGTAACTAAAAGTTGCATTTGGCCCTAAACTTCTAAACACCCTGTGTAAACATTGGATTACTGAATAATGTGTCTTCATGTGAGAATTTTAAGCCTCAACAGTTCTTTTTTTGATTCATGTATATATCTCAATTATTGAAGAATATATGCTGTTTCGAAGAAAATCATTCGAATTATAGTCATAAACAATTTAATTTAAAAAATTACAGTGACACTATTGGTAAGAAAACTATGCGAATCATAACCATAAACAATTTAACTTAAAAAATCATTGGTAATTAGAAATTGTTATATTGTTTATTGTTGTATTTCCTCCCAGGGCTTGAATAACAGCTGCCATCCTCTTTGGCATAGACTCAATTAACCCAGCTAATGTGACTTGGTCTATTTGCTCCCACTGGTTTACCGGCGCCTATTCAACCGCGGCCACAGTTTGAAAGACTCCATAGGTCTGCCTAAGCCTTCTTCCTAATGTATCCCACATGTGCTCAATGGGGTTGAGATCCGGACTCCTTGGCGGCCAGTCTAGTACTTGAATTCCAATATACCATCACTCCTCGACCACCAAATTGCACTCTAGGAGCGAAACAACTTTGAGCATAGCGTTCTCCACGCCTTCTTCACACTCTTTGGCGACCATCAGGTAAATATCTCGTAAAAGGAGACTCGTCTGTAAAAAGAACGTTTTTCCAGTCGTCCATATCTCAATCTGCATGAGCTCTAGAAAATACCAAGCTCTGCCTTCGATGACCTACATCCAATACAGGACCCGTAGCAGGTACACAAGATGATAGGTTTCTTTCTCTCAACCTTCGGTATCAGGTGGAACTATGGTATCATGAACAGCATCCAATCTTCGAGTCAAAGCTGTAGTAGGAACTGTCCTTTCTCGAAGAGCTTGAAGTCTCAGAAACCGACCTTCAGCTGCGTTTATTGCTTTCCGTCTTCTAAGTTTCTCTAAATCTTTGTATCGCATCGAATATCCTACTGCGTGGGACGGCAAGCCTTTCTGCGATATACCGAATAGGACGACCATCGACCATCGTCTTGTAAAGCTACAGCTTGCGCTACATGTTCCGATGTCATTTTTGTTGAGTTATTGCTTGACAGGAATATTTTTGACGTGCCATAAAAATTCTAACAGACACAGCCTAATTGAAACAATTTCTTACCCGGTAAAGCCTACTTGAAACAATTTCTTGTTTATGGCTATGATTAGCATGATTTTCTTCAAAACATCATATATCATACTTCAATAATTGAGATATTGACATGAATCAACAAAAGAACTGTTGAGAAAATTGGAGGCTTAAAATTCTCATACCAAGACACATTATTCAGTAATCCAATGTTTCCTCAGGGTGTTCAGAAATTTAGGGCAAAATACACCTTTTAGTTACACCCTGTATAACAGCAAACATTTTCAATTTTTTTTGCAACTCTATTTAGAGTCCATCAAAGTAAGACAGCACAAATCACGAAACATCTGTTTATGTTCCACTAAACGAAAAGTCTGATACATATGTGCAATTCTTCAAATTCATTTGAAAACATTTTCGATAAGGATGTGGATGTGATAATTTTAGGAGATCTTAACCTACCATGTTACGTAACACAAGGCTGTGAAACTATCAAGTTGTTGAATAATTTTACGAGTTTATACAATTTGAATCAGATTAATAGTGTGCTTAATGTAAAACAAAGGCAACTTGATCTTGTACTGTCAAATATGTCTATAGTTAACATAGAAAAATGTGAAGACCCACTTCTAGATGAGGATCCATACCATTCTGCCCTCAATATGTTTATACCTGTATTACTCAAAAATAAAACTAGTAATGTTTACAGTCAGCCTGGATATATCTATGATTACTCGAAAGAAGATTTTTATAAGTTATTATTAATCTGTTAGAAGATGTTGACCTGTCAGATCTTCAGAAAGCTGAAGATGTGAATACATGTACTGACTTATTCTATGGGAAGCTTTATGGATGTTTAGACCAAGCGATACCTAAAAAAGCAGCGAATAGAGCCACATATAATGGCGGGACTTATCCAATTTACTTTTCCTTGGCACTGAAGAAAAACATTAAATTATTAAAAAATCGTCATCACAGACAGAACGGTAAAGCTAGCCTAGAGGTTAAAAAAAATTACAGTAGCTTAACAACCACAATCAAGCACCAAACTGCAAAAGAATGTCAGGCCTATTGTGAGACAATTAAACATAATGTCAACAATGACCCCAGCAGCTTTTGGGACTTCGTAAGGTCCAAGCGTGCAAAGCCTGGTATTCCTTCAGATGTTATATATGGGGGTTGTTCCATTAGTGGTTCCCAGGAGATATCCGATACATTTGCATTGTATTTGGGATCAGTATTTCGACAGTCTGAGAAACCAAATTTTGATATGTTTAATAGTGACTACACATTTTCCCAGGTCACCGAGACGCAAGTTGAAGCAAGTATCAGAAGGTTAAAACCAAAATAAGCAAGGTAATGATAACACCACTTCATATATTTACAAAGGGTGTCCATTAATGACCATTTTCAATCTGTCCTTAAGGACAGACACATTCCCAAAGAAATTTAAAAATGCATATGTAACTCCAATATTCAACTCAGGAAATTCCAGTTTAGTTAACAATTACAGACATATTACTGTCCTTAATGCTCCTGCAAAGATTTTTGGAAACATTGTATCAAGATATCCTGAACTCGTGTATAAACGACTTTGCTCTTCAACAACATGGTTTCTTGCCAGGTGTCTTACCAATTTGAGCATCTTTACAGAGGCAGCAGCTCAGGCTATAAATAATAAACCACAGTTGGATGTAGTGTTTACAGATTGTGTCAAAGCTTTCGATAGGGTTGACCATGGCCTGTTGGTAACTAAACTGGGTAGATCTGGTTTTTCTTCAACTGCATGTAAATTTATGGCATCTTATCTTACGGGTAAAGGTTGGCATATCAGTATCAAAGCAATATATTGCTTCATCTGGGGTGCCGTAAGGTGGTAACCTTGGTCCTTTGCTATTCTGTATTTTTATTAACGACTTACCAAACTGCATAAACAACTCAGAATGCCTCCTCTACGCTGATGACCTTAAAATATTTAAGCCCCTAACATCATCTAAGGAGTGTCATGAACTACAGAAGGATTTAGATTTGGTATCCAATTGGTTTCACGAAAATAAGATGTTAAATATCGACAAATGCCATGTTTTAACTTTTACACGTAAAAAACAATACATAAATTTTACATACCCGATTGAAAATGTACAGCTAGGCTGAGAAAGCACATGCAAGGATCTGGGCGTCTACTTCCAAACAAACTTAACATTTGTCCAGCATTATGAAAACATTGTGAATAAATCTTACAAACTCCTTGGATTCATAATTAGGCATACAAGACATTTCAAGGATATAAATACAATAATAACTTTGTAGAACACTCTAGTGAGACCTAATTTAGAATATGCATCAACTATTTGGTCACCACAAACAATGAACCATATCGAAATGATTGAGAGAGTGCAAAAGAGATTTCTCAGATATTTGTATTCTAAAAAACGTAATATGAATTTAAAATGGTCAAATTAAGCGATAGACGACGTTTGAGTGATGTTTTATTCCTCTAGAATGTCACTAACAACCTAAAGTATGAGAAATGTGTCTTATTTATAGTCCGTAAAGTTAAACTAAGAATAAGAAAAAACAAATTGTTCCAGTGTCAAAAGTTAAGTAGCTCTCCTATAAATAGGATGATGTACGAATGTAACATTCTTATGCAACGGTGTGATTCAGACCTTGTTTGTACATCGGCAGGACAAATCAAGGCTGTGTTTCTAAACAGCATATTGCCTTGATGCCATTAGTATCATATACTATTTTATATATTATATATATTTTATCTCTGTTTTGCATTTTAAAATGTTGTTTCGTCTTTGTAATTTATTTTTTAGTAGAGAGCATTTAAATGCATTTGTATGTGTTTGTAGGAGGGTAAATAAATAAATAAATCTGTTCATGACTGGCTGTCTGTTGACGGACTAACGAAAGCTATACATTACTAGTTTGTTCAATTGCGAGTAGACCGTATCTACTATAGCGCCAAAATCGGCGGCATCTAGCGGCCACAGTGGTGACCCGGTTACCAATGCGAATTGGCATACAGTTCCAATTAACACCTTGCTGTTTTCACATTCGCAGTGATCGATTCTGGTAATAGATGCAGCACTTTGTGTGCTCTCTTATTTCGATTCCAACAAAAATTTGCTCAAGTATGTCAAGCTACAAAAACGTTACACAATAAGTTAGTCATATGGCATCTTCTTGTAAATCATACAATTTCTGGTAGAATCGTTAAGATTTGGCTGCCCCAGCAAAAAAGTGTCTTTTAACGCTTTTTAAAAAGTTTTAGGTGCTCAAACTAAAAAATAATTATTTTTGACACAGGAAAGGTAATAGCAAACTGCAATGAAGTTTTTATTTTTCATCGAAAATAAAGTTAGATACTAAGGGATACCAAGAGACAACAAATTTGAACGATTGACTGATTAGCCCGAAAGAAAAATGGCGTCAAGTAGGTTGACTCTGCACTTCCCATGCAACGCCCTTACCAGTACCGACAGGGATACGTTCAGCACAAACCTCTGAGAATATTTTTCCGTTTTCAG